CCAACCCAGACAATATAGCACTTTAAACTGTCAAAAATGTTCATACATCCCTTTTTGGAATTTAAGGTTAAAAGTTGCCAGAAGAAAGTTCAAGGCCTCATAATGCAATTCAAAAGCATAAATAATAAAAAAATTAAATAAAAACATTTATCACAAAATACGAAAAAATCTTAATTTATCAATATTTTTTACAGTGTAGAGTATATACCATATGTAGGAAACACAAAATGATACTTCCTGACAGTGTTGGGGTAAGGATTCACAAGTACAAGTTACATAATAATATTACTTTTCTTAGTAACGTGTAAAGTAACATTACTTTAAAAAAAAAAAAACTATTTGAGTTACTTTTTTGAAATGGTTACGCAAGTTACTTATTTGTTTCATTTATTAGCTTTAGCCTCTAAAAAATAAATTGCTGATTCAAAATTAGTCACAATGAATCACAGAGTAAATCAGAGAATGTGTTGATTATTTTAAAGGTATTGAAAAAAAGGAAAAGGAGATTGTCTCAGTGGACAATGTATTTACCTAAGGCAGTGGTGTTCAAACTCGGTCCTGAAGGGCCGGTGTCCTGGAGAGTTTAGCTCTAACCCTAATCGAACACACCTGAACCAGCTAATCAAGCTCTGAGCAGACAAACTAAAAACTTCCTGCAGGTGTTTTGAAGCAAGTTGGAGCTAAACTCAGCAGAAAACCGGCCCTCCAGGACCAAGTTTGGACATGCCTGACCTAAGACAAACTGCACAAAAGTAGCAAACACACGGCTTCAAACATTCAGTAATATGTATATATTGCATGTGTAGCTCTGGGGTTAGGAAGTTCTCAGATAACATTATCCTAAAATACTATTTTTGTGTGTGTGTGTGTTTTAAGGTGTAAGTTATACAGTGAATTATTTACAGAACTCCTATATTAAAAAGGAAGAAAAAAAATTTCTGAAAGAGATCAAGCCTCAGCCAGGTCAGAAATAGCAATGCAAAAGTATCTCAAAAGTAACGCATTAGCGTAACACATTACTTACCATAAAAAGTAACTAAATAATGCAACTAGTTACTTTTGGGGGGAGTAACTCAATATTGTAATGCATTACTTTCAAAAGTAATTTTCCCCAACAATGCTTTCTGATGATACATTAAAAGTCATAAGATGTCAGTGCAAGAGAATGAACTTTGCAACATTACTACCATCAATGCTTAGCCAACATTAATGGAGCACAGAACACACAAAAATACTAGCAAATCTTTATTTTTTGTTCAACTATCCCTTTAAAGTCATGCTCTGAACACAGCGGAGAGTTCAGCATGTTCAAGCTGATCACCCAGCAGCAACCAAGGGCCTTCATCCATTCCAGAGCCCCTCACTGATGCAACATACAGTATAGCTTTTCACAAACACTAACTGTGGGGCTCACAGATAACAGGCGCTTTAGTTTTCTGGGCACAGAGCATTAAATCATCATCAAAATACAGCTGCCCCTTCCTCAACATGAAGTCCTTCCCACACCTCTGGTGAATAAACAGGAACCAGATTGGCAATCCGACACCCCTCTCAGCAGCTCAAGATGGTGTACATCTAAACCCAGCGTGATATTCCACCGGATGTGACTGACTCAGAGACAAAGGTTTAAAGCCGTTCTCCAGCTTTATCTCTTCGAAAATCCTTCCTTTTTTTGCCCTCCCTCATAACGGTGAAATGTGTAATCCTCTAAAAAGGATCAAAGAGCACATAAAACCTCCAACATAAATAAGGTATCATAAACGGAGAGCTTGGACGTCTGGGTTGCTCATAATATGTAGGTTGATGACCCTTTGCTGACCCTGAGAGCCCCTCGTCACGCCACGATTCCATAAAGAGCTTTACAGAGACCAAAAGAGCAATTGGTCATAAATACAAATCATCGGCAGATAATGGCTCTCATTCACTAATGGTGTGTAGTATAGTATACTATACTAGCACATTCAATTGACCAAAACTGGTGTTAGCAGCTTTTATAATGTTACAGAATGATATTTGATTTAAATAAATAGTTCTTAAGCTTTCTATTCTTACTTTTTTTTAAGAAAAATAAGGTTCCACAAATATATTTAGCAGCACATCTGTTTTCAGAAATAATAATCCTAAATATGAACAAATTAGCATATCAGCATGTCAGAATGTGATTTCTAAAAGAACACACTGAAACTGGGGTAACAGTCTGTAGAAATGTAATTTGTTTTTCTCTGCTTTTGATAAAATAAAAGCTTATTTCTAAATACAGAAGTAATACAATGAACTACAGCTATGGAAATAAATGAGACCACTCAAACCATCCGTTTCTTATTTCATGTGGCTGCCATTTAAAAAAAAAAAACTAAAGCTGCGGTGGGAAGAAACACAGAAGTATAAGATCAATATTGTAAACATTGCGACAACATGCTGCACTACAAACCTCCAGCTGTTGCCTCAATTTCAAAATGCAAATATAAGCGTAAAAATTACTTAAATATCATTTAGTTAAGTTTAATTTAAACAATTTAAAAACATATTAGGCATAAAACAAAATCACAATCTCTTTAAGAGTAATACACTTAAGTGTCCTCTTAGGTTTTAGTACATGGCACCAGGTAAACAACATGGGGACGCTTCCCTGCTTTTGCCCATGTAGCCCGGTGAGCAATAAAACTATGCAGTCCTCTGCAGTTCAACCTTGTATTGTCTATAATGATGTTGTCCCTGTACTGATGTCCAATTCCCGCTTAAATTTAAGTGCCGCTAAGCGCATTCTTAAACACAGCTGCTTTGCTATAGTATTCACCAGTGCTCAACAGAAATGACTGTGATTGGCCGTGAAGGTCATCAGTTTACCGTTCTTCACCGAGTGCAAACACAAATACAGGGACACTGGAACGTTTTAAAGCCATGAAGATCAGTTGTGTTAACACTTTGTAAACATCGGCAAAGTGCAGTGAACTCATGACCTTCACGGCTAATCACAGTCATTTAGGTTGAGCACTGGTGAATACTAAGGCAAATCAGCTGTGTTTAAAAATGTGGTCAACAGCGCTGAAATGTACTTTTTTTTATTTCAGTAACGAAATTTAGTATCGTGACTAATTCATTTACTTAAGTTTAATATATAGCATTTAAAACGTGTGTTTGAGAAAGAAAACATTAGTTGAAAATGAGGTCTGATATTCCTTTTTATTTCCACTGTCCATTCAGAACAGACCTTCAAGTCACTGAAGGTGGTGGAATGATAAATTTGTATTACTATCTTTTTACTGAAAAATATATACAGCCAGATACACTACATTCTTGTGTGACTCTAGACCAGAGGTCACCAACCCTGTTCCTGGAGAGCTACCTTCCTGCAGAATTCAGTCCCAACCCTGATCAAACACACCTGAACGAATTAATAGTACCTAAAGCAGCACTTGATAATTACAATCAGGTGTTTTTGGTCAGTGTTGCAACTGAAATCTGCAGGAAGATAGCTCTCCAGAAACAGGGTTGGTGACCCCTGCTCTAGACAATGTTATGGGTTTCTACCTACTGCAGCCTCGAAATCGCTTCAAAAATGGCAGCTGCGTAAAATCAGTCTATAGCAGGGATCACCAAACTTGTTCCTGGAAGTTGGGTGTCCTGCCGATTTTAGCTCCAACCCTAATCCAACACACCTGAACAAGCTAATCAAGGTCTTACTAGGTATACTTAAAACACCCAGGCAGGTGTGTTGAGGCAAGTTGAAGCTAAACCCTGCAGGGCACCGGACACCCAGCAACAATACTTGTATCAAATAACTTGTCTGTGATATGCTTTGATGTCTTTAACTTTTGTTTTTAGAAAAATTACAGTTTGTTAAGAATAATATATATATATATATATATATATATATATATATATATATATATATATATATATATATATATATATATGCTGTTGAAACTTTTTATATATATATATTATTATTGTTATTATTATTTGCTGTGACAGCAAATCAGGGTTATTGCACCGAATTGTGATTTCTTACCTTCTTCTGATGGTAAAACCATTGGCATTCTGCTGTATAAATGTATAATGAATGCACATATGAACAGCTGGCACCGCAAAAAAAATTGCTTTAAATTACAAAATTTTTATTTTTTTACTTGAAAATTAAGTCACCAATTTATAGAATGAATCAAAAATGTTTTTTTGTTTTTTTTATGCATAACTATAAATCATTAATCCAAAAGAAACTATGATTTTTTTAAGTGGTCTCTTAGCATTTAAAAAACCACATCCACTAATAATAGAAGGTTAAAAGAACTTCAAAATGCACCCAATCAGTGACAGAATGACAGTTAGAGATAAACTGACAGATCTAGACGTAAAAAGGGATTACCACTTCTCAATGATGAACAACAAAACAAGAAACATCTAGACAGACTAACTTGTGCTAACACATCAGAAATTAATTAGAAATTTTAACAGATTCTTCAGCATGTAAACACAGTATGAAAAACAGAAACCAAGGCCAAGCGAACAAAAGCAGAGGAAGTCAAAATCCTACACGCATTTCCACATGTCTGGCATTTCAAACACTTTAATATTCTTTTTATACTCTTGCCCTTTCTTTCAGGAGCCTAATCATGCACCAAGCTGCATACAAGTAGCAACGAGCACGATCAAAAGCAGATTTTTAAAGTAAGGTTGTATGCATGCAGCTTTAGTGGCAGGGAAATAAAGGGGAAGCAATAATCAATAATATTTAACAACATCCAACACCATCAAAGAAGTCAAAATGATTCTACTGAATGCAGGCAGGTATAGTTAAAGATAATGCATGATGGAGATAATGAACTTGAAGATTAAACCAATGTTGTTAGTGGTAGCACTTAATTAGCGATTTTACTAAATTACAACAACAATTGTAGCACTGTAATTATCTAGAACTAATGTATAATCCATATGTGTGATGTTAAGAGTTGAAAACATCATTTGTGAACTCCAAAAGAAAGCTGTTGTAAAATGATTACCTGGAACAAAGCTCCCCTGAACAACTTCTTTGTAAGCCCACCATCCCTCATGGATTTTGGGTGGATTTGGCTGAGCTGTGAGGAAAAAAGAGGAAAATTGGAGTGATTTTTAGCATTACTTATAGAAGAAAATTGATTATTCATTGTTTTCTGCGTGTTCATTCAAAATGATTTCTGGCAAACAGCTTCACAACAGAGGCTCAAAACAAACACGAACTGGAATAAAAACCCACATTTGTTCTTTAAGCATTAGAATGGAGATGCATTCTGGGTGAACTCAAGATAACTGACTGAACCAGGGCTGCAGTTTATAATTGAAGTGACCAAGTAAAGATCCCACAACTAGAGAAGGTCAAAGTCTGAAATTACAAGGCAATTTTTTAGGATATTGCATTTTTTTACACCTAAACATTCTTGTCCCTACTGCCACAGGAAAACATGTCTATGAGGACATAGGTGGCAAGGCTGCAGTTTAATGGAACTGGAGGAGGGTTAATCCTTCCATCAAGGACAAGAACTAATGCAGGAGAGTGGTTCATTTCGCAAAAAAAAAAAGAGGAGGTGGTAGGAGAGGTGAAAATGCTTTCGCCTCTTAGAGACTGGAAAAAACAAACAACGCTGAAGCTAATGATTTCTCAGAGTAGTACTATAACCGTGCATAGTGCTGTTGAAACCTCAAAAATGCAACTGGGATACAACGATAAAACAGCTTCATTAAAGTTCCCAATGAATGAAGTTAACAGACTTTTCAGACTGTATTAACACTCCCGATTAACACAGCGATTTTGATAGTTTTCACAGTCTAATTCTCTAATGCGTCTTGAAAAACAGCTGATACAGTGTAGGTATTGGATGTACAGTGACACAATTGGTAGATTTGACTGCATGCAGGTATGTGTTACTTATGGTCCATTTCCACAGAGTGGTCCAGTACTGTATGGGTCACCTTTATCAGGCTTGCGTTTCCACTGCCAATGATACCCATTTGGTGGGCATGGCATACAACAAACTTTAAGTTGATGTCATTCTCGCTCGAGGAAATGACAAAGTAAAGCTGTTAGGGTTGTTCACATTCAACAGATGCTTTATGCACACAAATACTTGTACAAATGTTCATTACCAACTTTTCTATGAACATGATTTGATTTCAACTGCAGATTAATTATAAAAATAACCTACTGTAATGTCTGCAATTCTAAATTACAATTAACATTATAAATGCACCTATATAAACAAACACATACAAACCCTTACAGCCTCCAATATGTTACCAATTACAAAAAAAAAAAAAAAAAATACACAAAGCATACATTTAGTCCTTATTTGGCTTCAAAAACATACAACATAAAGCCCAATCAGTGCACACATCTCCTTTGTATCTTTAATCTTCACCAGCACACGTAACCTCTTGTTAGAAGGTAATTCCGTCATTTCGAGTTCAGAAAAGTCCAAAAGGTGATGATAATAGTAAAACATAGCAATTTGTTCATGTTTTAGGTTGCTGAAAAAAAATCATTTACTCATTTGTTTTTTCCAGCTTCTCCTTTGTTTTTTCCCGCTTCACTCTTGTATTTGTTCATTTCTGAAAGAATGTCAGAAGCACTTTAATAATCACGTGCATGTTATGATCAACTCAAGAAAGTTTATTATTTCAAATATATACACGCAGTGAGTGCACGCGAGCTCTCTGGAGAAAGTAAACCCGCCCACACTTTTGGACGGCCTCATAAAACAAAAACAGGACACGGCAGATTCTGGTTTTCTTGTCTTTTTGGCTGTTCATCAAGAAGACAACAAGGTTTTATTTTTCAAATTTTTGTTTATTAGACTAGATTAGAGGAGATTTTATATTAGTAAGACTGTTTTGGTTTTGATTGTTTCTTTGCTTTAGCACTACCCATAGCCAGTCTTTCTAATTTATGTTTTGTTTTGGTTGCTGATTGTAAATAGCTCACTCACTGCTTCACTAATCACCACCTGTAGTAAATCACAGTATTTGTACAGCAATATTTGTTTGTCGTTGTTACTTTGAGTACAATTCGCTTTGAGTGGTAGTTTGAACCAGATCCTTGGTTAAGTGTTGGGGTTGTAACATTTTTGGGGCTCGTCCAGGATAGTTAACATCCTGACAGGTATTTTCAGAGTAACTTTGTGGGTAAAAAAAAAGAAAGAAAAAAACTTAATAGCAGATGCCAATTATATATATTTTTTCTGATTAAACAAAGAAGAGTTTCACTTTATATAAAGTTGACTTAACTATTATATACATGCATCAACAAAATAAGTACAATGTGCTTCGTCCTCCAGATATATGAATGCAGATTTTTGCATTATTTACAACACAAGTACACACTTTCACTGGCAACACACAGATGGGCAATCTGTTCATTGAACACTTGAAATTAATAGTTATAATGTGACGTATTAAATTTGTGACATATAAAATTTGATGTATTTTCAAATTTACACCAATTAAATTATTTAAAAGAAGCTAGGGAGGCCCAGGGACTAAATCCACACTACTAAGTGTTTGTTTTGATTACAACTAAATGTAACCTATTTTCCAGAAAGGACAATTTTGTAAGAGGTCACACTGGTGCCACTTTTATCAGCTCAGGAATTCAGAGAAGGCTTTTAGTATTATTGATGTAACACAGTGTGAATCAGGTGTTGGTTCCAGCATCTGTAGAACACTATAGAAAGGACACAGGTGGCAAACCTCCGAAGGGGGTTCACAACACTTTCTGTCAGACACATACCTGAAGAGAGGGTATTCAGATGTTGTTGTTCCCTAAATAAAAGGTGTAGGGTTTTCATGTATCAAATTAAACAACAGGTGTGTGTGTGTGTGTGTGTGTGTGTGTGTGTGTGTGTGTGTGTGTGTGTGTGTGTGTGTGTGTGTGTGTATAATGCTTTATGGAGTAACTGCTTGAAAGTCATAGTCCACAAAACTTTAAAAAGCACAAATCTTTACATCTGATCATCAACTGATGAACGCCAACAAATCGATCTTCCTCTCTCCATGTCAGGTCTCCTGTCAGAGTCTATCTTCAAGTAGAAGTTAGTATGGAGCAAGAGGCAATAATTCATCAGACATGCTCTCCTGAGGGACACTGGTGTAATAATACAGAGAAACTTTAGTGGAAGCTTCAGGACAAGCATCAGACACTGCATCAAACCATCTCTCTCGCTCTCAGTGGGGAAAACAAAGCTCCCGTCCCTGCAGCTCAAAGCTGCCATCATTAGCGGGATGGAGACTGGAAAGGAAAACATAACGCCAATTGATCATTTCTGAAAGCGCAAGACTCAGGCACTCCAAACTTGATGCGACACAAGCTTTCCACGGAACATCCAAAGAAGTTCTTTTTATGCCTATTGTGATTAAAATGAGAGTTTGGGTGGCTTTTATGCAAGCGTGTATGTGTGCACAGGCGTACAGAGCCCAAAGAACCATTGTGATTGAACGTAATTCGTTGCACTCAGATCTTATGCGTGTCCCAGTTGAATGTGCAGGGCTGCATGAAAATGAGACATCACATATTTCATTATGACAGCAGTTTGAGAAAAGCAGCTAAGTTCTATTCCATTTCCCACACAGCTTGGCGGTGTCCCAATAATATATTTACAGGCTTTAGCAAAAAGAAATGCGTCAAATCTATGAAGCGAAAACTCAAGTCAGAGGTCGTATGGAGCAGACATCTAAAGCGGTTAATTTTGCCACGTCTAATCCAAAAGTCTTCAAGTCATAGGCGGCTTGCTGGAGGTCCACTGTTAGGATGTTTGCAGTAATATTTGCATCTCGTTGCAATCAATCAAAGAAATAACAATCAATTACCAAGTAGACAATGGCCTTGCGTTCATTGGAAGACAACAAATAAATCGCCAGATAATAAGGGACCATAACCAACGGGGTTTACATTTTACGCTTTAATAATGGGATTCAAGTGACTGGTTTAATAATATCATTCAAATGATTGAACGCTGCTGGCATTGCCTTTTCAGCATTTCACAAATGGTGCCGCTTTCCAGAGGCTGACTTGCTCATGCATTATTCAGAGTCGGGTAATCAAATGAATAGATGAGGGCGGTTGCAGCACAGAGGTAACAAACCTATTGAATGTCTGCAGAGTTAGTGTCAATAGATCAAAAAGTAATTAACACTAATTTTCTGATCCCTGTTCCCAATGGGAGACCCCCTGCTTGGCAAAGGATTTTCAAAGAGCCACTTCACCATAGCAAAACATAAAAGGCACAGAGGCAAATTTGTCAACATTTGTCACTACTCTGAATTAGCGTATCATTAAGTGAAGTATACATTCTGCACCAAGTTGACTTGACATCAAATAACTTTCAAGCACAATTTTCTATCATTTTCTAGTACATTTCCCAGCTGAATCTTACCTACATCTTGAAGTGCTCTCTGGTGTGTCTAGGTGGAGCAATATTTAAACTTTCTGCAAAGTTGGTTTTTGGAGTCATGCCTCCCTGTGATCCTGCAAGAATCTAATTTTAGCTCCACAAGAAATTTAACGCTCACATTTATGACAGAGTAAACAATTACTCATTTTTACGTGTTTGAGTACTCAGCAGAATTACTTGAAATAGCCATTCTTAGTCGAGAGAAACAGGATGAAGAGGAACATTATTTTCCCTAATGGTCTTTCAGCATCTATTTGGTGTTCTGCTCTTGTACAAATATAACTGATGTTTGTTATTATTAGCATCTATGTGGCATCAGGGACTCTTTAATGCCTATATTAGAAACCACAGAACAATAACATTTACAAAGCTGCAAAAAGAACTGGACCTGTGGGAGCACATGCATTCATGTCCCTAATAAAACTGAATAGAAGACACCATTTCTGAGTGTGGTTTTTCTGCTATGTACAGAAGCTGACGTCTATTCTCTTTTTATTTAATTTCCAGCTCTTTACAGTTTCTTGGCTAAATCATGGTTATTTAAGGATATAAAAACAGACAACCATACTGTAAGTGTAAGCAATCGTCATATTGCTCTTATACGATACATACCATTTTTACATTAAACTACGCCGTTTATGTAACTTTTCATGACC